CACGCACGCGCCACGCACGCGCCACGCACGCGCCACGCACGAGGGGTCCCTCACTTCCAAAATAGGTGTACAACGAGTTGGCGAGTTGACGAGTTGCCGCGAGTAAGCCAAGAGTTGGGATCAATTTTTAGAGAGTTTTGCTCAAATTTTCGCAAATTTGACGCGAGTTTTCGCGAGTTTTTGCGAGTTTGACGCGAGTTTGGCGCGAGTTGGGCGCGGGCCGGCGCGGGCAATGTGTAGTACAACGAGTTGGCTAGTGGGGAACCCCTCGGCCACGCACGCGCCACGCACGCGCCACGCTAATTGGCGACCGGAAGCGACCGGAAGTGTTCATCCGGGAGGCGCTTGCCTCCTCGCATCTCACCCGCAGTGTCCAGTGCGCCTGCCCGACCATCGGAATGTCAAGCTGTACTTGCGACCGCTCAGACTTCATATTATCTTTAGTGCCACTGTTCTGATCACTGTTGCGTTTCTTTTTTTTCTTCTCACAACAAAGTATAACAACCCGGGGGCCTCATGAAAGTCCGTCGCCGGATTAAGTAGCTTCGTTTTCTTGCAGCGGCATAGCAGTGCTTTTAAGGCTTCCTTATGAAATATGCGACTCGTAAAGCGCGTCTTAAAAAGCGCGGCGCGTGTCTATACCCTGTGCAGCACTCGCGGATTATTTTTTTATTTGACTGATTTAATTAATTAAGGCTGCGATACGCGTCGCTGCACCGCAAACTTGTCTACACTGCTTGCAATACAGCGCGCTGGAGAGGCGTGGCGTGCTCGAGCTTTCTTTACTGACGGGAGTTTAGTTTTTCACATTTTTTTCTTCTTCTCTTACTGCAGCTCTCCTCCCCTTGTAAATGATACTGTTCATCTCCAATGGGACAAGAGTGATGTGCAGTGTGGAGTGGTAAATTCCTTGCGTGAATAAGAGAAAATCCGAACCGTCATGCGTGGTTCCCTGTGACACGAACCTTTTTCCGTATTTTTTCCCCCTCACCGCACTTTCCTCGCCACTTCCCACTCGGTGCATACTTATCCTCACGCATCCTCGCGCACTCACTCCATCCGGATGTGTCACTTAGATCACTTTCACTGCGCCGGGCGGCGGCCGGGCCTATAGGCCGGGCCACTCAGTCACTGCACGCGGTCCGCTAGCGGTCGGTCTCCGCGGGGGCGGCGGGGCCCAGCTTTGCGCCGCTTTGCGCCGCACCAGCTGTAGGCGAGGCGGCCCCGCGCCCGCGGCCGGGTGGCGCTCCTTGTATGTCGCGTCCTGGTTGGGCTGGACTGGGCTGGGCTGGGCTCGCCGACCCGTCCGCGGCGCAACAACGCGTTCACGTCCGGGGTAGAAAAAGGAAATGAAAAAGTACTAATAAGAAATGCAAGCGTTTGGGGCGGGGCGGGCCTTCGACGACGAGCTGGCTCCCGCATCCCGCCCGCCTCATCTCTTCGGTGCACATGGACGTGGGCGGCGGTGGAACATTGCAGGGTCAGGAGTTCGACGCGCTCGACGGGGGGAACAAACGCTGGTGCGCGGGGGGCCAGGCACGGGAGTCCGGCATGGGGTCCGCGACGCACACAGGGGCCGGGGTCCGCGACGCACTCCGGAGGCCGAGGTCCGCGACATCCGCTTGGGCACTCCGCGCGCCAGGGCTGATCGGGAGCGACTGAGGAGGGCTCCGTCTCTCCTACCAGCCCGTCCAGCATTTGCCACTCATTCTGCCGGCCAGCCGCGCGCCTGGGCGTGGCGGGGCGTGGCGGGGCGGGGCGCGGCCTGCGGAGGGGGAAACACCTCCACCTCCTCTTCCTCACCCACCTCACCAGCTGACATGATGTGAGTCTCAATGGGCGCACACTCACACAAATTCGCGCACGTGTGCTGCTGCGCACCCACTATTTGCAGGGTTGCTGACGGGTTGCACGAGCATGAGAAGGAACAAAGCTATCCAACTGTGGACAAACCTGCGTCAACAAAGGCTTCAGGCACCTGAAAAGTTGGAAACTTTGCGCCACAAAATACCTTCGTGGCCTCCCCCTCTTTCACCCGGAGCTTAAACCTCCCGTGACCCGTGATGCATTTCTTAGTGTGGCTTAGTTTTCTCTGACTAAGTCAAGTCAGGCATGACATGCTTTATTTACAACTTCAACTGAAATGAGAGGGTGGTGTCCGCTGTCAGTGTTGGTAGCAGGTTTGAATATGAAATTGTTCTCCCGAGGCTAATGGCTCGTGGCTCGCTCTGGCCCCGCTTCATCCACAACATTTGGAGTTAAACTGAACGGCACGTACCGGGTGTGTGTCAGAGCACGCATCGCAGTGCTGCGGGCTTGCCTATGTTCTACGTTTCGACCGTAAGGCGGTATGGCCCCTGCAACTGCACCACGGTACAGTCTAACTGCGCGAGTGGGTGGAGCGAATCGGCCCAGCCTATACACACACACTGCGTCTGCTCTTGGAGTCTAGGGTGTGTTCATTGGGTCGTCAACATCCGCGCGAGTTTTCTAGCCTGTGCTTGTGTGTGTCTCTTCCCCCGCTCACAGCTCGCTGCGGTGTCGCAAGCTCGCTCTCCACCTCCATCTCTCTCTGTCTCTCTCCCACCCACACGGTCGGGCCGGGTGCGTCGCTTTGAGTCTAGATCGATCAAGGCGACGAGGAGGCGGCCGGAAGTGCGAGGCGCGACCCTCACAAAATTATTAAAGTCATTTGGGCGCGCAGCAGCCCGGCTCCGAGAGGCGAGGCGTGCGCGGGCGCGTGCGCGGTAGCAGCTCTGCGGGGGACTTCGACGCGCGAGGCGAGCTGGTCGTGCGTGCTCGCGCCCCTACCCTCGGCCTACCCTCGGCCTACCCTAAAGGCCTACCCTAAAGGCCTACCCTCGGCCTACCCTATGGGCCTACCCTCGGGCTACCCTATAGGCCTACCCTCGGGCTACCCTATAGGCCTTCCCTTGGCCTACCCTCGGCCGAGGGTAGGCCGATATAGGGTAATTACCGATATAGGGTAATATAGGGCACCCTATATTTACCCTAAATAAATATAGGGTA